ACAAAGTTAAGGCAAGGCAAAATAAATAATAATTGAACAACGGAGATTGAAAATACTAAACTAAATTGAAGGGATGAACAAATGAATATGGAAATTAACCCATTTTATGTCAAAACAAATAAGTGAATATCAGAGATTGAACATACAAGATTAAATTGAACAGAAAAAGAAATGAATTGAAAAATCAAACCTGTCTAACTTCAATCAGATATGGTTTCTCACAAATAACAGAGAAAGAATTCTTGTACAGAGAAGAAGACTTACATGTTGTTTTTATATATGAACCCTATAAGAAAAATGATCAGATTAGAAGCCAATTTTGATTGAACAAGTTATTGAAGGAAGAGGGCAAGCGAGGAGAAAGGCCATCTCGTGCAGGTTTATCGGATCGGTGAATGGATTGAGATCGCGAGATCTACGCTTTAATACTAAATTTACCGATCTGCCCATCTCACGTCCTGGAAGGTATGTAGGACCTCAGGCGCTACCAACTCTTCTAAAATCAATTGGTGTTAGAAGAGGCGCATACCTTAGCCTTATAGTGCATTCAACACACAAGCACCCACGACATTCGATTGTGACTTGGCCCACATAGCCTCCGCCACGGGACAATTGCTGCACACATGGCCAACAATCTCCCCCTCAGCAATTGCTCATGCTGGGAATCGAACTCGTGACCTTGGCTCTGATACCACTTGTAGGACCTCAGGCACTACCAACTCTTCTAAAACCAATTGGTGTTAGAAGAGGCGCATACCTTAGCCTTATAGTGCATTAAACACACAAGCACCCACGACATTCGATTGTGACTTGGCCCACATAGCCTCCGCCACGGGACAATTGCTGCACACATGGCCAACAATATATATATATATATATATATATATATATATAATATGAATTTTGGCCGATTCTTACCGATTCTCACCAGTTCGCAGTGGGTCAATGCATGAAGCGGTACCTTAGTGGAGGAATAAACATTTTGGTCGAATTTGCAAAAAAAGAAATAGAAAATTGGTTCGACCGGGTGAAGCGGTTGATTCTTACCGATTCACACTGGTTTGCAGTGGATCAATGCATGAAGCGGTCAAAAGGGCTAGACTGGACCGATTTGACCTCCGATTCTTGGTCCCAACCGGCGGATCCGGCCCGATTTTTAAAACTATTGCTTAAAGTAAGGACGTGCAGGGAGATGTGCTTAGTGGGCTAGTCGCATTTACAATAGTTCTCATTAATGTTACTAGATTTTACCCGTGCGATGCACGGTAAGAATATCTCCGGAGTATAATAAAATTATGGAGTAGAATAAAATTTATAAATAGCTAAGTAAATTTTGTCTCATTGTAATAATGGATTTTTTTGAGCAGTTGTGATAGACTCTAATAGTAGACGTGATACCCATTTTTTCTCATATGAATATTACATTACAAAAATTAAATTGAACAAAAGTTACAAAATTTGAATTTTTTTTTAATAAACATTTGAAGTGTGATAAAAAAGACGGTTTTGATCATTGCAATTCAAGATCTTCCATTCTTGTTGATATATCTTGCATGCCAAACACCAACATGATTACCCTTGTGTTTTATCAATTATCACTGCATATGAGCACATGATAGAAAATTATTTTCTTAAAAACTTGAACGACAAAAAATGTAATCAAATTCCTAAGTTGTAGTTTTTTGAAAAAACAAAATCAATTGTAGATTAAAAATAGCATATCGACTTGCATTGCAGAATCAAAGTTAAAAAATTATACCAAAGAAGTTATTCTTTTGGGCAATTACAAAAGATTTATCATCGCAACATGCCAACATGTGAGCAACAAAGTGAGCCGCCTATGTTCATTTTTTCACCAACAGTCTTCATTTTTATTCTGTTGAGATTTGGACTTATCAGAAGCTGCACACTCATGATTGAGAACGTTAATATTTTAATCAATAAATAATGCAGCAACGAAATGTAATACGAATATCAAGAATAAATTACAGTATTTAAGAGTGATCCAAACAGAACAAAATTCAATGAGTACATATAAAAAATCAACATTTAGCAAGGGGAAAGAAGGGTAATTAAACAAAATTAACCACAAAGTTGAAGTTAAACACAAAACTATTATATATTAGTTAATCAAATTTATGATAATGGTAAACAAACTTGAAAATGAAAATTTAATAAATAGAACATTAAAAGTTGTAAATTAATACCTTGACAATTCATATTTAGTTTTGCCTGTCATCCAATAGGTAAGCCAAAATAATGCAGCAAAGGTAAGCCATCAAGTTCACAGCCAGAGTCACCGTCATCCAAGAGGTAGGCCAAAATCATCCCATCCATGGCTCCCAGTTTCTACCCGAATCCCATCCAAATTGCCCGTCCTGAAAAATTATCACTCAAAAGCCATAGACCATGCCATCTTCATCTGGACCTAGGGGTAAAATCCTAAGATATCCCCCAAATCAAAGTTTTTCAATTGGGTCGGAGAGGGGAGCACATGAATATGAAAGCTATAGATTGATTCGAGGAGAGATCTAAAGAAGCGCTAGAGTTTCTGTTAAAGAAGATGGGATGTGAAAGAAAAGTGAGTGGATGATAAAAACATACCTGAGGGGGTCAATTTCCCGAGCAAATATTATTCAAGGTCGCCGGCGACGATTGTATTCAGCAGCACTCCTGATTACGATGCATCTGCCCTCGCTATCCCCTCTATCACCGTCGTCTCCCTTCCGGCTCTAAGGATTCGTCCAAGGCTCATGGCGTGATTGAGGGTGAAAAAAAATCACGCACGGTTGAGACTTGAAAGCGTATGTGTGGGCAGAACGTGGTGCCTACCTTATCCGAGTAATTGAGAGATCATGGCTTGACGATTGATACAACATTTGGGCTGGATTTTTTCCTGCTGCTGTTGTAAATAGTAAGATAGGATAGGAAGATGTCAGTCATATTTTGTATTCCTTTACTTTTGAAGTTAAAATAAACACAAAAATATAAATATGGATATCTTTTCAATTCCGACGTAATCTCTAGGATCAAAACATACGCTTAGAGTTAATTGATATCTTATAAATTCCAGGACTATATTCCTTCCAATGTTATAATTGTTGATACTTATAATGCACACCTTATGGTTAGGCTAAAAAAGGAACTCATGATGATGCAAAACACACACAAGTAATGATATGGCCATATTAGTCCTGCCTTAGCTTTGTGCAAGGTTACGTGGAACATCAATTAATTGAGGTGGGTGTAATGAAATCAATAGGCAATTAATTTAGTTAACACTAACTACATGAAAAAAAATGAATAGAACATTGGTAGAATTTAATCTTTTTAGAGATTCACTGTATGACCTAAATCAATTTTTTGCTCAAAAAGTTCATCCAAAGAAAAAAATATCTCACCAGTTGCTATTGTTTCGTCAAGAACATGTGTAAAGAGATGTGAATCCGATTTCAGATCTGAGCAAAGCATTGAACAGAACAACCCATGTATTTAATGAAAAATAATAATTTAAGTGAATAAAAACTAATATGAAATGAGAGAAAAGTCAGAAAACAATTGGGTGGAGTTCGAGATAGATACTATATACACGCAATTCATATTATAACTCTAGATGCTAAACATTTTTTCCATTTGTTCGATATGAGTTCAACATAAAGAGGCTAAACATAAGCTGAGAAAAATCCTATGGACGTATTTGAAAGGATTCATGCAAACTCTTAACAGTAAATCATTATAAGAATTAAAGGATGAGTCACCATTAGATGTCTAACAGAATGTTAGTGACTTACCTATTGATCCTTCATTTAGCAGTCTAGCTTTACATCTTCATGGCATAGGGTGGTGTGCAATCTTAAAAGCATTATATGGCTTTGTTATATATCAGTACCAATAGCCTCTTTGACATCTACAGGGTTAACAAAATCAGTAGATCAATAATAGAATCCAAATTGCCTCGTCCTTAACTTCATAAACAAAGACACAAAATGAATATTATATCTACTGGCTTGATTTCTTTTCATGTTTCTACATGTTTCTATGATGAAAGGATAAGTAGAAACTGGTTATTTAGCAAATAAAATGGAAAATACAGTTCAAATAGTCAAAGAAGCCTTCAAGATTGTGTGAGAAAAGTGTTCTACACTTCCACATAACAGTGTTGAACATGTGGAGAAATTGGATAAAATAAAAATGCAGTATAGAGTAATACAAAAGCAATAATAAGTGAGCAAAGAGCTCGAAATATAACCTAGAAATTGCCTTGAATTAAAACTGACACTAAATTTTAAACATGAACAATAGCTAATAACTGAGGTAGATGATGGGAAAATCAACTTTTGGCCATTAGTTTTTTAAAATAAACTTAGATTTCACTTGGGGGTGTAAGATTAAACTGAAAATCAAACTAATATTGTTCTTGGGTTATACAAATTCTTCAACAAAACACTAAATCACAGTGGAGATACACAAATCCTAGGGTAAAGAGTGAGATTTTAATCCTCACCGTTGAAGATTTTGATGCTCTTGTGCACGCCCATATGAAAGATGGAAGAAGTTGACTCCTCTTTCCCACTCTCGTTACTCCTATCTGACTTATCATGGGCGAAGAAGGCTAGAGTGTGGAGTGTCGACCGATGGGCCAGAGTACCCCTCCATCAAACGTCTTAGCTTATGCAGAGCAATTATTCTTTTCTGTGCAACACATTTCCCTAGTAGTCAAATTTAAGAACTGGTTAATGATAAGAATTTAAGAAACATTCGAAAATGAAACAATTTGAGAAAAGTTGATAATACATGTGTAATACATAGATATCTATAGAAGATCATTATATAACTTTAATAAATGGCCTCTTGATTCTCCATATATAAGATTTTTTAAAATGCATGATACATAAAAGAAGAGCAAATAATGTGGGTGGCAGGGTCCCTTAGGGTGTATTAGAAACTCATAAGAGTGCCGTGGTAACATAACAAATTGGAGTTTCGTTCACAGGACTCATAGAGACATTTCATCGAACATATGGTGACTCCTCTTTGCCTCTGTAAATGTTAGGGTTAAGAATTCTCTCCCAAGTCCCAACTTACAAATTAAGTCACGAATTGTAAAGGATACCTGGGAAGATGATCAAAAACAGAAATCGACCCTGCAGTGCCATCACTTAAACCATGACTATTCGACCTACCACCCATATGTCGCCCCATATGTCGCCACAGACGCCTACCTCCATAAATAAAAAAAACTTAAAATAATACTATAAATATAAAGAAGTTAAAATTAAAATAAGAAAAGGTTGCATTCCTCTTCTTGAATCAGTGGATCCAACCACTTCTTCTTTTTCTTGTTCTCTTGTCGGTCTATTCCTCTATAAGGGGGCGTTTGGTTCAGGGGTAAGGGAATGAGATTCCCTCATTCCCTTTGTTGATGTTTGTTTTTAAAAAAAAAATTTCCCTATTTTTAAGTTTTGGATTACCCGTTCCCATTCCCTAGCTTATATCCGGATTTCCTCTCTCATCCCCTACGATTCCCCCATTCCCGTTTCTTCTTCGCCAATAGCCAAGCTTCGTTTCTTCTTCCCTCATAGTCGCCACTCACTTTCACGCCGGTAGCTGCAATTCC